AAAATCTGAATAGATATTGTCAAAATGTTTTCTGTAACTTTAAGGTCAAAAATAGTACCAGTTGTAGTATTAAAATAGTCATTTAATTGTTGAATGTTATGATTAATTATTTGTTCGTCATAGGAAATCTGTAAAATAGTCTCGTTAAAATTTTTAATTGTTGACGATGTGATTTGAGTTTGTTTTTCTAAAAGTGTCGTAATATCGAGTTCGCGTTTTTCCAATAAATTGATGCAATTGTCATAATGTGAAGCGTCTTTTGCATCAGGAGTACCTATGAGGTATTTCAAAACTCTGCCTAAACCATCAAATAATTCTCTCTTCTTTCGAGAGTTTTCGCCAAGATACATTTTTAGTTCAGAGATTCTGTCGTTAATTTTATTCAAATTCGTTTTAAGATATGATTTTGTAGAGATGACCGTAGGAAGAGTGGAATATTTTGTCGCTAAAATATCAAAATTAGAACATAGACGTAAAAGGGATTCGTGAGCTGTGATTATAGGTTTTAAATCTTTATAAATAATTAATTTCCAGGATTCGCTTGATATTGAAATCGTACCTTCTTCTTTATAGAATAGACCGGAATGTGTAGGTAATGGTTTTGTTAGATTGGCAACAATTCCCGTGGTTGCCCTGAAATAGATAAACGGTTTTTTGTAAGACAGTGACATAACTTATTACTAATAAAATCTCGTAAACGAATATATATATTTTATAACCTATTATGTATAAAATAAGACATGTCCTAAGAACTAGGAGATTGGGCCTCTGTAAAGCTGACCCTAAAAATTTGTAAAGTTGCATATAATATATAAGAACTTGAAGTAATGAAAAAAGTAATTGAGAACTTAAAATAACGAATATAAAAATTTAGGATTAAAAGATTAATTATACTTAATTAAGTGATAGTGATTGAACGTGAAATGGTCGGAGTCTATCCGCATGTACGAGTTGGTTCTTGTGGGATGTTTTGACGATATAGTTATTGTTGAAACCTACTCGAATAACCTCAAAAGGTCCTTGCCATTTTGAGTCAAGATTGTTAGGATTAGGGACACGTAACATGACTTTACTTCCGACTTGATATTGAGCTAAGTTTTTAATTTGACTATCATATCGTTCTTTAGCCTTTTCTTTAATGTTTTGTAATCGTCTCAGAGCGGAATCTCTTGCTACTCTGAGTCTTTCGTTGAGATCTCTAATATAGTCACATGCAGTGTATTCTGGGATGAGTTTCATGGAATAAAGTGAACGTGGTTTATAACCAAAAAGGAGTTCATGTGGCATATAACCTGTTGAATTATTAATTGAAGTGTTGTGACACATTATGGCAAAAGGAATTATTTTATCCCAATTTTTTAATTTGCGACTGTGATACATACGTATATGATCTCGCAATGTTGCATGAAAGCGTTCTAATGCACCATTCGTCTGAGGATGATACGTAGTATTGAAAGTGTGATTGCTACCAAGGAACTTGTTGAGTTGTTTAACGACGTTATTAGTAAATTCAGTACCTTGATCGGAATGAAATCTTTTAGGTATACCATAATGTTGACAAAAATGGATGATTTCGCGAGCAACAGTAACAGCTTCTTTGTTTGAAATGGGATAAGCTTGAACGAATCTAGTGAGATCGTCTTGTAGGGTTAAAACGTATTTATTATTATTATCGCTAATATCGGAATATGAGACTAAATCCATAGAGACGCGTTCGAATGGTTCTGTTGATTGAGAGGTTATTACCATTGGTGCCTGAAAATTCTTTCTTTGGATTTTATTACGTTGACAAATAAGGCATGATTCTACATAAGTCTTAATTTCATTGGTCATATTTTTCCAAAAATAATCATTACGAATTTTTCTAGTGGTTTCTACAATTCCGCGATGTCCAGAAAGTGGTTCATCGTGATATGTTTTAAGAATCATAGGTATTTCATCCGGCTTAGGATATTTAATATTATTTTGACAAATAGTTATTTCACATTCATAAATGTCAGCGATATAAGAAGTTATTTTGAGTTGTTCATTTCCATTAAGTTTACAAGTGGAGTTATTTTTTAGTTCGGGAATATAGAGAGCTTTTATGTCATGCTTTTGTAAACACGTCATTAATGCTTTAAAATAACTTTCAGCATCCCAAGGATCGAAGTGATTGGGCCTTGTTGTACAAAAATATAAATTTTGTTTTTCATTTGACACTAAGAGGTCGACGTCGTAAAGTGATTTTAACCTTTTAAGATAAGGGTCGACTTGAAAACAGGAATGAATTGCTTCGTTGAAAAGATTATCCTTATCAGAATTTTCACAGGACGTTGGAATAAATATGTCTTTATGTCTAGAGTCTAAAAGATTATCTGGAGAAACTTTAAGTTTGGGACCATCGATTGATCGGTCGATTGAGAGGAAATGTTCATAGTTAAGATGTAAGAGATCGTCGTGATTAGATGTAGGGATTGTGTTGTTTTGACTGAGGTCGTCTTGAGTTAAATCTACAATATTGGAATTGAAAATAGGAGGACGAGATAATGCATCTGCATTCGTATTACATTTTCCGGCCTTATAAATTATTTCGTAATCGAATTCTTCTAATTTAAGTCTCCATCGCACTAGTCGACTACCTGGATCTTTGATTGAGAATAACCATGTTAGAGGTTTATGATCTGTCACGATTTTGAATCGTCTGCCGAAGAGATATGGACGAAAATGTTTAACTGCCCATACGATAGCTAGAAGCTCTCGTTCGATAGTGGAATAATTTGTTTCGGCTTTATTGAGAGTTCGAGACGCATACGCAATAGGAAGATCTTTACCAATTTCTCCTTGAGATAAGATTGCGCCTATGGCATGAATTGAAGCATCGGTTGTGAGTACAAATTCTTTACTGAAATCGGGATATTGAAGAATAGGGATTGTTGTGAGAATATTTTTACAAGTATCAAAAGCTTGTTGTTGAGATTCAGACCAAATGAAAGGAACGTTTTTCTTTAAAAGACTAGTCAAAGGTTTTGTTAATTTACTAAAGTTAGGAATGAAACGTCGATAATAACCTGCTAGACCTAGAAAAGATTTAATGTCTTTACACGACTTAGGGATTAGGAATTCTTTTACAGCTCGAACTTTTTCAGGATTAGGTTTGACACCTTCGTTAGAAATAATATGACCCAAATAAGCTACTTCCTTTCTGAGAAATTCACATTTATCGGGTTGAATCTTTAAACCATGCTGTCTTAAACGTTCGAAGACTTCAGTGAGTTTTGTTTCGTGTTTTTGAAGGCTTGATGCAAATACGACGATGTCATCGAGATAAACAAAGCAACGTTCGCCTTGTAATCCATAGAGAACGCTATCCATAGCGCGTTGAAAAGTCGCTGGGGCATTTTTAAGCCCGAAAGGCATTCGTAGGAACTCGTAATGCCCATATGGAGTATTGAAAGCTGTTTTTGATATATCCTTTTCGCTTAATTCAATTTGGTGGAATCCAGATGCTAAATCGAGAGTGGTAAAATATATGGAATGACCAAGTTTGTCAAGGATATCGGTAATGTTAGGAAGTGGGTAACTGTCACCAATTGTTACTTCGTTAAGTTTTCGATAGTCGATGACAACCCGCCACTTACGTTTACCTGAAGCGTCGGTTTTCTTGGGAACTACCCAAATGGGACTACTCCATGGTGAAGTACTTGGACGTATTATGTCGTCTCTAAGCATCTTGTCAACTTGAGTTTTTACTTCTTGCTGATGTATGTGAGGGAATCGATATGTTTTTGTATGAATAGGTATATCTGAAGTTGTGGGAATGGTATGTTTAGTGTGATTTGTAAATGTTAACTTATTACCTTCAATATAAAATATGTCGCAATATTGTTCTACTAATTTAGTCAAGGAATCGCATTCCTCAGAATTCAAATGATTTGTCCTTATTAGTTTACTAACAGTGTCATATGAATTTTGATGATTATTATTTGTACTATTAAAGGATTGGATTTTATAAGCATCGGAAGATTCGTGATATGGTTTAATATCATAAATATAAGGAATTGAAATGTATTTATCCTCGTTACTAGAATTAACACAAGTTATTAGAAAGTTATAATTATTTACTTTAACCAAAGCATTAGGAATCGTGAGATTTTCGTCAATTGTTTGTTTATTAACGATAGCAAAGCCATTAGTGACTTCCTTAGAAAAACAACTAATTACAGTCTCGGATCGTTTGGGAATCATTTGCTTATCTATTTGTTGTTTTGGTTCTTCGACTAAGAAAAATAAATTATAAGACTTATGTTTAACTCGCATTGTTTTTGACTGCACATAAATATTTACATTGAATTTGGACATAAAATCGTTTCCTAAGATACCGTCAGCTATGATATTAATATCTGCTACATGAAATTTATGCGTAGGGAATTGATCAAGCGATAGTTCGCAAGTACCATATGTTTGAACAGTAGAATTATTATTAGAAACACCAATTATAGATACTTTGTTTTCCGAGTTGATTAAATGGTTAAGAATCTTGTCCTTTCGAATTACAGATATAGCAGCGCCTGTGTCAATTAAAAGTACAATTGGTTGTTGGTCAATATGAAATGTACAATGCAATAAGTTTTCAGGAGGTATGTTAAGAGATTGTATATTATATGATTTTAGATTTTGATTACCTGTAGATTCTAGAACGTGAGAGTAAGATTTAAGAATAGGTTTCGATTTGGGTTTCGATTGACGTTTAGGTTTTCTAGATTTGTTCCAATTAGAAAGTTGAGGAGATACAGAGGAATTAGTAGATTCAGTGGATTTAGTAAGTGTATTGGGATTTTCTTTTGAAAGAAAATGTGTTTCGATAGTTTGTGTACCGAAATCACGCATTTGTCTCCGATAGACTGGTGGATTTAGATGGGATGTGTTTGTAGTGTGAGGATTTTGACTGACAGGAAGTTGTCCCCGATGGACTGGAATGGACTTTCTATCAGTTGTTATCCGTTTATCGTGTCTTTGTGTTACTGAAATTGAATGTTCTCGAGTTCTTGGTTGCCCGGGTTCGATACGTGGACTTGAGCGAGAGTGCAAGGAATTGAAACGGTTTCCGAAGACTCGCTCGTCTCTTCGGCCGTCTGTGAGTTTAAATGGTTGACATGTATGTTTTGCGAGTTTTGTGTGTTGAATGTATGTCTGTTATTATTATTATTGAAATGACGTTTGCGACACTCGGATATATTGTGTCCTTTGTTTTTACAATAATTACAAAACTTTAGTGTATATTGTGGAGTAGATGTTATATGTGGGACTCTTTGTTCGGAAAACTTAGGTGAAGGACGAGGAATAGGATAATTACGAACTGGAGGTCTTGTATTGGGGATTAACGCTTGCCGTGCCTTATTCATTCTCCTAATTTTTTCTTCTTGCATGGCAAAATTGCCAGCATCATTAATATTAGAGAATTCGCGAGTTCTTAACATTACTCCTATGTCGGAACTAAGACCGTTAATAAAAACATTTAAAGCCGTTTCTTCCGCCGTTAGTTTTCTACCGATTAGAGAATCGTCAGTTATTTCGGTTGTTAATTTCTCTAAGATTTTATTGCGACAAAGGTCGACTCTATGGTAATACTCAGTGACAGTCTCGTTTGGTTTTTGAAACATGGTCTGGAGTTCTAAATTTAAATGACCTAGTGTTTTCGTTTGTGAGAATCTCTGAATTAAATATGTTTTTAATTCGACCCAATTTTTATATTTTTTGGCGTGGATCTCTGAAGAAGAGGGACCAGTAATTTTGTTTAAGGCATAAACTAATAACAATTCCTGTTGCTGAATAGTCGCTAAGTTAAATGCAGAGTCACATGATCGTATAAACCTATAGACTTCCGAGTTTAGTTCCGTACGAAAGTCTGGAATCAACTGTAATAATGTCGGGAGAGAAACCAACTCCTGTGGTTTTGCGTCAACTTTGGGGTTAGACATAATGATATATGATGAAATAGAGAAAAAAAAAAAAAATAAATAAATAAAAAAAAATAAGGAAAAAGGAACTTGGAAATGAGCAAAAGTATTAAAGCCACTTACCAGAGTAACACCAGCAGCACGAGTTTCATTATTGGTTCGGCAAAGTTATTTTTAAAAGTCTACGACTACCGTAAATTCTAAGGTCGACGATGTTTGTTCTACCTAGGAACTACGTTTTAACTTTGTCTTTAATGCACGCACTACTATATTATCCTACCGACTGCGCCAATTTTGTTACGCGGCAGCGACAAAAACACTTTTTAAAAGAAATTATTTATTAAGGTATTGACTAAACTAGGATACAATGTATATAGAACGAGATTCGAAGTAAGAATGAATATGGTTGGAAAAGGAACAGGATTTTATACGGTTAGAGTGTGGGAAATGGTAACAAAAAAGTCATTAACTAACGTTATTTATGAGAACTAATCATGAACCGAGTTAAACAATATTATTTATGAGATATTGAAAAGTAGACATGGATTTTGAGTTAAACAATATTATTTATGAGACATTGAAAAGTAGACATGGATTTTGGAGTGTGAGAAATGTTATCAACAAAGTCATTAAGTAATCATGAACTAAGTTAAACAATGTTATTTATGAGGTATCGAAAAGTAAACATGAAAAGGTAATTATATAATAATAAAGGTGAATAATGTAACGATATAATAATATAGAGTTTTGGATTATGTAACATCTGTCTTTAAAAGTATATCGTCGATCTCAAATATTTATTTATTCATTTCTTAATGCAGATATCCTAACAGAAAGATTACATTACGACAATGAGTAACGTCTATTATTATAAAGCTGAAGAGGTTTTTTCAACACGCTAGTCTCAGGAGCTACTGTTTTGACTTGAAAAATTATTTTCATGTAGGATAGATCAAATATTGAGGAAGGCTTTAGGCTACATCAGTCAATCGCTGCTACCAATAAAGGCGAATAAACAGTGGAAAATGTGGAATGACCAATCTCTAGGATCCTTGAAATAACAGTTTTTTTAAAGTTTATCTATTTATTAAAATTTACTGTACCCTGCTTTTTACGCTCCGCATTAACCATAATCCAGTTGGTACAACACCTGCGTCATTCTGTCACGTCATTAATATCCTCGTATGGGGGGCTGCATCAATTGATACGACCCTGGTATACCCCGCGATGATTTATTCGTTAACCTGCACGATTCTGTTTAACCTTATTGATTTCAATTGGCATATTGCAAGTGTAATTAAAATTGTTTGTTTTTAATTATCGTTTTTATTTCGCCTCTTAGTACATATAACTTCTGATTACGCGGATAAAAAATAGGTATATAGTCATAGACAAATAGGGTCGACAACCCACCCATCTTGTTTAAATGCTATAAGCTGGGTTATTTCAACTACCATCGAGTGATCCCCATGCTTACCTGTCGTCTTCTATCATTAAAACAAAAGTAATAATTGGGGCTTAGTATTGAAAGTCATGGAATTGACGAACGTTAGTATATAAATAATATTACATTTAAATAAAACTGTTAACGGTTCAAAACGCGACTATATTTGTTATTTTCCTATTCATTTCAACTACTTTGAACTGTTTTGTAGGCACCAGTAAAGTTGATACACATTACTCTGATCCCACAACTTATCGTTGAGTTACACATTTTTATTTGTTTCTGTATAACTTACCCCTTTGCCACCAGTAGCCTACTTGTTTACGGAAAAGTACAACCTTCTCCTCCATAAAGCATAGTAATTGGCTACATATTCGTGTCCAATTTCAAACGTTTCTTCTTGACCTGCATATGAAAAAACTTTAAACTAGGTTTTATATAAACAATATTATAGTTTTTTATATTAAAAAAACAACGATTCGCGATTTGTATAAAACGTGAAAGCAGTTTATCTCGCCGTAGTTTTATTGTACACGAATGTCTCTCTCGTGATGCAATGTAACGACAAGTAGTTAGACAATGAGTTGCGCCATTCGGAATGCAAAAAAAAACTATGGTTAGCGGAAATTTCAACCGTTCCGTTCCGACGCTTTACTGGTTTTTCGATTTGATACTCGTTTCATATCATGGTAAATTTTACTTGAAAACTATTCTATAGAGATTTGTTCCGCTAACCACTTTTTAAAGATAGTAATTTACAGTAGATTTGTTCCATGCATAGATGAAGGTGTCAAAAGGCTTATACGATCAATTTAAGGTTTATAATTATTTAAAGTAATTCTTTCTTGCCATTTCTTCACTTTGCTATATCTTAATCTTTAACTTGCTAGTTAAGTTAAAGATTTAAATAGTTATTGGTATCATTGTATACACTTACATTATTGGTTGTTCACCAAGCAAATACGTATCTTAACAAATCTTATCAAATTAACAAAAAACGACCAAAAGCGTTACATTGAAAAACCGATACGCTAGCGTCGATCAAATCTCTCAATGACCAACATTACAATAAACCGGTTTCGCTGGCCAAATATGGACCATCCTTGGCAATGAACGATGACTAAGTTACAAGTATTACTAGTCGCAAGTTACGTCTGATCGTGTCATTCAACTTTAAGAATGTGGCAGAGGAAAATTTTTAAAATGTTTGTATCGTCTTTACTCTGTCTGGTCTGTTTGTGACCAGGAAATTAGTGTTCTAAATTTCGTTTTTGTTACGCAAATGTTATTTTCCACAGACTTTGAACGTTAAGATAAATATACAGGATATCTGTAGACAGAAAGACACGAAAGCCATATAAGAAGTAGGTACAACGTTAATAGAAATTAAAGGTTATTTTTTAAATCAAAAATGTTGGTTGTTCTTAAAAATTAATTCTGCTAAAATATTGTAAATGTAATCATTTATTCATGTTTCCTTATTGCCTACATAAGTACACATATGAACGAAAATACAGTTAACGGCCCACTATTTAAATAATTATAAAACTACTTCATTAAAATACTTAAATTGTCTATCAAGTCAGTTAGAACAGATCTCGAGATTTTTATCTAAAGTGAAATTCTTATGGTTTTACGATCGAAGCACTCCGATTAAGAAAATAACTTGCTCAATGACCATAACGAATCGTGTTGCGTCAAATATGTAATATCGGTTACTTCGCGTGAGCAACATACTGAAAAACTTATTACGTGATAATTGTGAGGATAAAAAAGTGGTGTACATGAAGTGTTTTCTCGCACCGCTTGTTAAATGACTTAATTTGTGTGTTACTGTGTCAAGTGTAAACCGTAGAAGGTGTAAAGTATCGTCAGTCTTTGTTGCCAGAATTATCATTAATTTCTAGAAAACCTTTCTATTATAGGTAAGGTATTCTGTATTGTAAATTAGATCTAAAATCTTTTTATACTCCGTAGTGTTATCGCGTTCGGTTTAGTATTCGTACTTCTGAAATTTCAAAGTCAAACTAGGTAGTTTGGACAACGCCCATTCTTTTGGTCTTATATGTCTGAGCTATTTCGTCTTCCGTCAAGTAAACATCAAGCTTGTTTGTTCTCCTCTGTCATAATAAGGTTAGGCACGTTGATAGAACTAAAAATCGTAACAATTTGAATTTCGTCACATATAAAAAGGAAACTTTTGGTACTAGATTTCAAATCGTATGTGTCTGTGTTATTTCTAAAGTCTTAGATGACGCAAAATGTGTCTAATAAAACTGTAACTTTTTATCGTGTTAGTGATAATATTAACACAATAGCAAGGTAGATTTGAGGCCGCTAGAGGGAGAAAGCCTTGCAATTTTATGACTTGACATATTTATATTTTCATAGTCTAAAAATGTAAATCTAAAGAGCACAGTGACCGAAAATTGTAAACATTCTTACACGAATAATAGTACAAATTTATTTTCGCCTAATTAATTGACATTTTTATTTTCCTCCTTATTGAAAAACGTTTTGTTTGACCTCTCGCCCTGACTCACACTTATGACTTACTTACTAACTCCGCTGGCGCAGCGACCCAAAGTGGGTCTTGGCCTCCACAACAAGAGAACGCCAATTCCGCCGATCCTGCGTTACGGTTCGCCACTTGGAAACACCGAGTTCCTCCAGGTCAAGCAACAAAGACGTCTTTCCAGCGGTATCTGGGCCGGCCAACGGGTCGACGGCCATTCGGGATTCCGAGATACGCCTTCTTGACGCTTCGGTGCTCTTCCATTCTTTCGATGTGGCCGGTCCTGCGGAGTCTTTGAGCTCGAGCTTCTCCCATGATGTTAGGGGCGGCAAACAGCTTTTCGAGCTCCTCGTTCTTTCGCGGCCGCCAGCTACCGTCTTCCTTCTGTGTCGGTCCCAGAATCTTCCGCAGTATTTTGCGTTCTGCTACTAAAAGCTTTTTCTCTTCTTTGAGTGTTAGCGTCCACGTTTCGCAGCCGTATAGAAGGATTGGTCTAATGACTGTTTAACTTAATAGTACATAGTTATAAAGTGCGATCACAATAATGTATATCTATGTTATGTATGTATTTTAATAATAGAGGAATACAAACAAGCAAAAGGTTCACTTGATAGGGGGTGAAATACCCCAGCTATATACCTAACATAAACAACATAACAAGTTGTTTATGTTAGGAATATATAAATAAATCGTATAAGGCATCAACATCACCTGATGATGCCACTCGACACGGCAAGATGTCGAGAACTTTTACGACGGTCGAAGAACTCGAATAGCCAAGTCGTTTACATTACACAGTTGCCTTTGCAGTCTTCAAGACTTCCGTTACTCCTAAGTGGCGCTTTCCAAGTAAAATGTGTCAGTGAGACGAACGCTTCACATTGCGTGCAGCCTCGAATAATTAGTGTCCTCGGATTATCTTTACGATCACACGAGTTCTGCCGCGTTCAATTAAAACGAAATGGTGACAGTAAATTCCAAATGCGAGTCAGTATGAAAAGATTAATCTACTTTCCACTTAATAAGGGACAAGAAAGGAAATATAATTTACCTACGACATAC